AACTGCCCCGATTTGCCGAACTCTGGTCAAGAGGACGCCGACCTGGATGGCATTGGCGACGGCTGCGACGATGATGCCGACAGCGACCAGGTGCTCAACAGCAAGGACAACTGTCCGTTTGCCTATAACAACGATCAGACCGATACGGATCACGATGGTGTGGGCGATGCCTGTGACAATTGTGTGTTTATTCCCAATCGCCGGCAACTGGACACCGATGAGGATGGCATGGGCAATGAGTGTGACGATGATATTGACAACGATGCAGTGCTAAATCAATATGACAATTGTCCTGCGCTGCGTAACCCAAATCAATCCGATGTGGATAACGATGGAGTGGGGGATGTCTGTGACAATTGTCCTACAATTCCCAATCCAACTCAGGAGGATCGCGACATGGACCTGGTGGGTGATGCTTGCGATAGCGATATCGACGGCGATGACGATGGCATACAGGATTCGGAAGACAACTGCCCGATGGTCAGCAACTCAGATCAATTGGATACAGATTTTGATGGCAAGGGCGATGCCTGTGACGACGACGTGGATGGCGACGGAGTGCCCAACTATAGAGACAATTGTCCATTAGCTAGAAACCCAGACCAATTGGATCTTAATCACAATGGCAAGGGTGATGTGTGCGAGGACGATGAGGACGAGGATGGCACGCCCAATATAATCGATAACTGCCCAAACAATTCCATGATACATCGCACCGACTTCCGCACAATACGATCTGTTATTTTGGATCCGGAAGGTGATGCACAGCTCGACCCCAACTGGGAGGTGCATGCAAATGGGTCGGAGATTATACAAACTCTGAACTCTGATCCGGGCTTAGTTGTTGGCAGCGATTCATTTGGAGGCGTTGATTTTGAGGGTACCTTCTACGTGAATGATGATACGGACGACGACTATGTTGGCTTCATATTCAGTTACCAAAGCAATCGCAAATTTTATGTGGTGCAATGGAAAAAGGGCACTCAGACCTATTGGCATTCATCACCCTTCCGGGCGTCCGCTGAACCAGGCGTTCAGATAAAGCTTATTGACAGCAATACAGGACCCGGGTCCATGTTGCGTAACAGCTTGTGGCATGCTGGCGACACGCCTGGACAGGCAAGGCTGCTATGGAAGGATCCATTGAATGCTGGCTGGAAGGAGAAGACCTCCTATCGCTGGTCCCTGGTGCATCGACCAACCATTGGCCTCATCAGATTGCGGTAATTTGGCAAAATACAGTATTTCCCCCTAACCAGGCGCCTGAATACATCTAATTTCGTTTTAGCATATATGAGGGCGAACGTTTGATTCTGGACTCGCACAATGTCTACGACGCCACGCTTACCCTCAAGGGCGGACGACTGGGCGTTTTTTGTTTTTCCCAAGAAATGATTATATGGTCGGACCTGGCTTACAAATGCAACAGTGAGTAGCCCTTTGGCACTTTTGCTTTGCCATCACACAAGTTCATTAACTTTTTCTCGACATAGCTCGCGTACCGCCCCTCATCTACAACGAGCTGCCCACACATCTGAAGCTGAAAGTGGAATTGGAGAACTAAAGACAGCCCAGACGTAGTTGTTCATCTTGTTTTTGGCAAAGCCTTTTCACCAACTAAAATGGTAACTGCCACAACACTTAACCCAATCAACTCAGCTATCATATTTGTGGATGCTAAGACAGATCTTTTGGTACTAATATATTTTTAAGTGTGCTTAAAACTTGTATCGAAATATATCTAGACAATAGCTAGTGTACAACCCTCTACTATTTCGTATTGGCTGACCAAAGGACATCAAAGTCGTCCTCGTTGCTATCGATATATCAATAAATATTATGGCATGAATGCTTTAACAATCTTATGAGGTTTTAATGCCTATTAAATAACTTGTTACTTGCAGTCCTGAAATTTTAAGAGCTCTAAAAATATTATTTTTTTATATATTATTAGTTGCTTTAATCTAATACACATTTTTATTTTTCAGATTTTTTCGATGCTTCAGAATGCCATGAATCCAAAAAGGCTCATTTCTCCAGAACCAGAGAGTTGCACCTGAAGTACCGCCATTGAAAATAAATTAAAACAAATCAAAATAAAATAAGAACAAAAATTATCTGTAAACTTTTAAGCGAAATAAATATATATTTAAATAGGACTATTTAAGTAAATAAGAAATTGTAGTTTTTTTTTACTTGCTAACAATTAACTAACTCTTTTTCGTTTTGTTTATGCAGTTCGTTTGTTGCAGTTCATTGTCTCTATAGCTCTAAGTCTTAACTAGTGATGCCAGTATATACATCTTAAATTGTAGACCTAAATACTAACTCTATTTTATTTAAATTTGTCTGATTCCCTGACGGTCCAGAGGATGTAATCTCTAAAGCCTCTTCTCTTCGCAATTTGTTGCTCATAACCAAATTATTTGCGAGATAGTTTCGATGCGCCGCTTCTACGTATCTGGAGCTCTTAATAAATATCCTAATCTTACAATGATAATAATCTAAATATTATTAGTTTACAATAAACACTTGGAAAGATATATATATTTCGTTTCGCCTATACTCCTATATCCTTGGCATCCTTAGGCATGCCAGGTATATAGTCTTAGTGACCCTAAAGACCAATTCGTGCAGAATTTACATTTAAATGGTCACAAATATATATGAGTCCAATTCAGCTGCCTTTTTTTATTTCTTAATTCTCTAGACCTCCACATGTCCTACAATATGTAGCTTGCCAAGATTGCACAGAATATACCCGAGATATACATGGGATTATTTAAACCCGGCTTTACATTTTTACAAAAAAAAATGTTGCATAGGCTCACGGAACTGCTGTTGTGGCCTTTGAACAGCAAATACTTAAGGACATTCGTAGTAGAACGGTAGTTAAGTAAAAATCTTAATAAACAATAAACACTGTGCTTTCAGATCACTATTAACTAAGAGCAAAGTAACATAACAATGTTAACTATGTTAATTAACGTAGCTATTCTAATTCGCTGTTAACTTACATTGCTGTGTTAACTCACTGTTCTTATGAAAATGTGTTGCATAGCCCCAAGGGGCGCTTAATTTTAATGCAAAATGTCTCCAAGGTAGCAGACGAAGAGAAATTAGTAGCAGGATAAGAAATGTTAGTTAACAGTGATTTAACATCGAACTGTTATTTAATATTGACATATATAACGTATTACATTTTCAAAATATTAACATTTAATATATTTATTTAAAGTTAATAATTTAAATCTAAAAAATCTGAAAAAAACAAGTAAGAAAGCTCTAGTCGGGGTGCCCGACTAGGAGATACCCTGATCCCAGTCCTTTGAGTTTTGTAATATTTTCCGTAGTTTGTATCGAGTATTAAAAAAAAAGAGAAAACAAATAAAAATCGACATTGCGAGACCAGGATTCGAACCCGGATTATTTGCGCAACGTGCACAAACTCTACCAACACCGCCACTTCATTACAAAAAAAAAAAAAAAATAAAACAGTAAAAAACATTTCATCTCCTCCGGTCTCGAACCCGGACCAAGCTGCATACGAGCGGGGCCTCTACCAACGCAGCCACTGTCCTTCTTGCACGGGCTGTTGCAAATTTGAACATAAGTAGCAGCTAATAATTCAGCACAATTCAATCGCAATTTCAATTCTTGGAATAGAAAAGAATACACGCATTTGAATGTATGTGTGCACACGCATAGGAAAAATGCGTGCGCGTGGCGCTGCTGACATGTGCTTTTGGAAATTGGCCAAACGTTTTGTTTAATAACTTCTGTTTTACTTAATGGATTTTAATGAAATTTTCAGCATATGATCTACATATCCTATTGGCTTGGTTGAGATGCAAACGCCTTCACATAATGGCCCTATTTCCAACTAAACTTAAATTCTAAGAATTTGGGGGAATTTGGAGCCGGTATCCAAAATCCAACAAAAATCAAAATTGCATAAAATATATATAAGACTAAATACAAAATTTGGAGGCTCTAGCTCTTAAGACGTTCGAGATATAATTTATTTACTGCATTTCAATAATGTTTTTATTCGATAACAATTAAATGCGAATAGTTATCGAATATTTGAAACAAACTTGACCTGCGCGTGCTATACACGGACCTACAAAAAAAATTTCAAGTCTCTAGCTCTTATAGATGCTGAGATCCACGCGTTCACACATACGGACAGACGGACAGACGGACAGACGGACAGACGGACAGACGGACGGACAGACAGACGGACAGGGCTCAATCGACTCGGCTTGTCGTCCTGATCAAGAATATATATACTTTATGGGGTCTGCCACGCCTCCTTCTGCCTGTTACATACATTTGCACAAAACCATTATACCCTGATTTCCCATTTTTAATGGGATCAGGGTATAAAAAATAAAAATATATTTTAGTATAAAACAAGTAGAAGAGGTCTGTTCTAACTGTGCACATTTTAAAGGGCTGCAAAGTTATGATTGAAGATAAGCTTCATTAAACTGTGTTTAATAATAATTGGGAAACAGGGAATCAACAGAAAAACCGTTTTTCCTGGAAATCGTTGAATCCGTTAAGATCATTTTCATGGTCAATACAAATTATTTACCACAGGCTCAATGTGCAAGGACGTCTAAGTTGATGTAAGTTCGCATATTTCTCAGTTGTATTTTATTTTTAAATGCAAGTTAAACTTTTATGTATCGGAAACTTTAAAACGAATACAATATTGAATTTTTCAATACAAATTTGTCACTAGACTCCGCATCTCTTATTTGTGATTTTTTTTACATTTTTAAATTTTATATAACTTAATATCTTAGGCACTTTACAGATGCATTTACATACCAAATAGCCTTTAAATGTTATTTCCTTTCAATACAAATGATATACTTTATTTGGCAACATCCTTTATAAATTTTGAAATGCTAGTTAAGGCTTCAAGATGTTGTGTAACACTTGCCACTCAGATGGCCATTTAATTTTGCTGAGCTTGCGTCACTTTGACATTTTATTCGATCTCAACATATCAGCTGTGCAGGCCTAAATTTTAAACATTTTATCCACAGTATTTTTCGACAAAATATCAATAAAAAATAGTCTTGCTACTCAAACAGTCTGAAATTCTGTCAGTCTTGCAACAAATAGTTCAGGGTAAGTTATTTGTACAAATTTGTAAGGCTAATTAGAAGACATGGGAATTGTTCGGTCAGATAGTAATAATGGCCAGTTGCGATGTGCAAGCCACTCCATCGGATAAGATTATAAATGAGGACACAGCTAAAGCCGAAATGAAGAGCGAAGCAGTTAAAAAATTTCAAACTCGAATTATGAAAAATGGAACTGTCCCCCAGCCAACCAAAATTCCGGGTCCCGTACGCTTGGATGACAGCGGCAGCTACATCCACACAAGTACACGCAAGTACACCACCCTGATGAAGTGTCTGCAAGCGAAGAGCGAAATGGATGAGAGTTTCAGCAGCACTAGCACACTGGTAAACACAACTGAGGATTCTGGCGTTCAATTGGATTGCTCAATGAACGTAGACGACGATAATAATTCAAGTTCCGAAATGCCATCTCAACCGGGCAGCTCAACGCCGCGCCAACAGCGCAGCACGGATACGATTGCAACCAGTGGAAGTCTTGACGAATTGGAGGCCGCCGAACGACAAACGCTGAGAGTACTGCAACGTGCCGTGGCCGAAATGGAAGCGGATGTCGCTTTACATGCGGAGATACTCGAAGAACAGATAAAGCTGGAGCTGGAGAACCAAATGAATTTGCACATAGAGCACGAAGTCCAACAGGAGATTGAAAAGACACTGTTGCAACAAACAGTGGAGCAGCAGAAACAGCAGCAGGAGCAGGAACAAGGGCAGCAGCAGCAACAAGAGCAGCAGCAGCAACAAGAACAGCAGCAGCAACAAGAGCTGCAGCAGCAACAGCATCAAGAGCTGCAGCAGCAACAGCAGCCGCAGCAACAAGAGACCTGTATTCAGGAACTAGAGACAGAGCTGGAGCAGCAGCTGGAGCTGGAGCTGGAGCTGGAACTGAAGCCGGAGGAACTGAAGCAATCGGATTTCAACGATGTATGTCACCACATCGACGACGAAGAGACGACCAATCTATCCGCTAGAGCTGGCTCACGCGAGCGAAAGCACGTGCGTGTGGAGCAACTCCTTGAGGCGGAACATGACATAGAAATGTTGCACAAGCTGCTCCAAGTGGACTGCGATCAGTACAATGACGAAGTGACTGCCCCGGATCAGCCCCATGACAATGATTGTCCGCCCGACTTAAATGCCGGCGGGGAAATGCAGGTTAAGCCGGACAAATTTACTACTGATAACGAAGCTGAATGGCATGACAAGCGAGTGGGCATCTTTCACTCGCTGCTGCAGATTATCTGCGGGAAACGCATCCGCAAGCTAGGCTATCCCATACTATTTTGTGGCATGGCTGTCGGTTTGATTTATTACTTTCGTAAGAATTAGGGAATTGTAGGCGTACACATTTTAAAATTCATCTACGCAAATTCACGAGCATTGCATAAGCGCGACATAGCGCAACAAAATCGAATTCAAGTTGAGTTCTCAAAATTTCATTTATTTTTACGAATGATAAAACGAAAACCACATAAATAGAAAAAAAGTATCGCCAATAAAGTCGCAAAACTCACGACGCTGCAAAACTCCCCATTTATAAGTCACCGTTTTCGGAACTGCATATCAAGCAATTGTAACAGAAAAAAAAAATATATATATATACATATATTTACATATAATATTTACATATATATATATTGTACTTATATATATATATATATATTAAGCGAGCACACAAACGCAATAAATAAATAACCCTGCGTCATTTTAACAGTCACAAAATTATAAATAATTTTTAAAGGAAATAAATCGAGGAATTCATGAAAACATTTAAATCATTGCGTGTATTATTGAGGGAAAAGAGGAGAAAGTAGGGAAAATTCCTGAAGTCTGTGTTTTTTGGGGTTTGACTTGTACATTTAGTGTTAATATCAGGGAAAGATATATATATAGGATATATAGATATATATATATATATATATAAGGAAAGATATATATATGATCTGCATCTTACATAGAACTGATTGAAAATCGAATGGACGTACAGACGGACGGATATAAGCTGGGCGGGATACACCAACAGATGGACGGACGAACTGATTGACCTACAGAGCTCGTGCAACAGTAACTGTGCTGATAATTAAAAAGCGTACAGATGCAGATGTAGAGGTGTCGAGGCTTAACTTTACTCTGTCATATCTGTCTATCTGATTGAAAATCAAAAGGGAGTACAGACGGACGGGAGGGATCCATCGAGGGATGGACGGACTGACGCAAAGATCCGACTTATCTGAGCGTACGTACAGATGCAGATGTGGAAATGTAGAGGCTTAACTTTACTCTGTTATATCTGTTAATCTGATTGAAAATCAAATGGGAGTACAGACGGACGGGAGGGATCCATCGACGGACGGGAGGGTTCCATCGATGGGCCGTCCGCGACTGACGTAAAGATCCGACTTATCTGTAACTATACTGATAATTAACAGGTATACTAATGAGCGTACGTACAGATGCAGATGTGGAGATGTAGAGGCTTAACTTTACTCTGTTATATCTGTTAATCTGATTGAAAATCAAATGTTAGTACAGACGGACGGGAGGGTTCCATCGATGGGCGGACGGACTGACGTAAAGATCCGACTTATATGTAACTATACTGATAATTAATAGGTATACTAATGAGCGTATGTATAGATGCAGATGTTCAGATGGCTGAACTTGCCTCGGACCCAACTTGAATTTGTCATAGAACTGTCATAGGATGGATATAACGATGGCGGGAGATATCGACGAAAGGAAGTTGGTCCGACGTGAAGATTCCATTTATCAGTAACTGTACTGCATACACATGGGCGGATATATGGAAATGTACAGCTACACGGACGGGTGTCCGTTTAGAGAAGCGGGCGGGCGGAATACAGGCATACAGACGTGTAGACAAACGGACGAAGCACTTCTTACTGCATGCATTAGCTTGAGCAGAGAAGGTTAAAGTCAATAAATAACACTTTTTATAAACATAGAATGTACACGATGTGTACATGATATTTCCTTGAGTAGAACAATGAATATAAATTTATATAAAAACAACGCTTCGAAATGCGTATGTGGAAATTGTCAACATTAAGAAAAATGTAGACAAACATTAGAAAATTTTTAGGTAAATTTTAAATTGAAATAAACTGTTTTCTGTTTAGATTCAGCGACAGAAATGGCCGCCACTCGGTCCGTTTTACTAGCGGGACTCGTGCATCTGCTAATTGAGCTTTTGCACTTAACACCTCAATTGGGGCTAAAGACGCCTGGTCCAGTAACGCCTACGATCATCGTCAGCTTGGCGCTAATGCATATCATCTATAACACCCGCATAATACCGCAGCGCCTCAACGATTGGCCGCCTGCACTTAAATGTATCTTTGAGTCCGTTACGGTCATCTTGATATTCGAGCTATCGATGCTGTTCTGGGAATCGATCGAGCATACAATTTACCTAGTTGTCAAGGGATCGCTGCTGACCACGAAAGTGATTTCGAAAGAGACCTATCATAAACAGGAGTACGTTATAGTCGGCGCCTTCACGCTGCCGCTGTCTCTGGCCATATTTGCTGCAGTTGCGCAGTCCTATAATATGTACCAATAGAAGGAATAGAAAGCACAAAATAAAGACAAAGCTTTTTAACTAGCTGCAATTCGGAAAGCTGAACGAAGAAATTTTCATTTGGGTGCAACACGTTGAGCTAAAGTGGAACAATGTTTCCTTTCTTTATTTATTTTAACAAAGTTTACCCTTAGAGCGACTATAAACACAGTTAACATATACATTTATTGAAGTGCTGTCTGATCCTTAAGACTTGAGAGCTTTGAATGATGGCTTAGCAAGGCAAGAGAACCTATAAGTACCTAAAAGAAGACAGAGTACAACGGCAATACAGATTTACTAGGCCAACTGCCGCTCCTAAAAAATGGCAATAGCTGCTGGGCCCTGAACTAGGTCCTCATGAATGGGCTTTGGGATGATGGCCTCATGAGATTTTATATAGATATCTCTGCTATATCTTTAACAAACTTTCTCATAAACATTTGTCGTAGCTTTCAAATCAAATTGGCCTTGGCTAAAGTTGTTCAGCTTAGCTAAATACCGTTAATAATGTCAGTTATTGACATTATACTATCCCAAATATAGGCTTCAGGCCTTTTTTTTTAAATATTTAAATTTTTAAATTTTTAAATTTTTAGTTTCTCTTGCAACCAGGTAAGTAATGTCCCTTAGCATGAGGCACTTTTACTGTTCACGAATTTGTAGTGCATAGTTATGGCTTCATTGGAATCAGTTCTTGTTGCCGCCGTGGTGCATCTCTTCTTTCGCTTTGCCTTGTATATAACGCCACAAGCGGAGGTGACTACGCCCGGTCATGCACTGCCCTCGATCGTTGTCTGTGCGGCACTATTGGATGTCATCTACGACATTCGCATTGTGCCACTAGGCATGTACATGCGCCCCAGGCTCATCAAATGCATTGCCGAATGCTTTGTGGCGATCTTCATAGTGGAGGTGGGCATGCTGGTATTCTGGCAGTCATTGGAGCATGTCGTTTTTATGCTGGCCAAGTCACTGCTGCTGGGCATGAAGCTGGTTTCACCTGAGTACTACTATGACCATGAGGCAACTTTAATTGGCGCCTTCACATTGCCGATATCTCTTATAATTCTGGCCTCTGTGGTCGTCTACAGCAATCACATGGCCAAGCTGCGTGCTCGTTATATGGCGCGGGAGATGCAGGTACACCTGCAGCTGGATAATACCGTCAACTTCCTGAGCCGCTCCAATCGTTTCAAGGACTCCAAATGTCGGAAGATACTGGATTCATATAATTCGAATGCAAAGCGCAGTCGAAATCCCAAGTGGATGGTTTACTTTCCAGATGAGTAGCGCACAGCTTTTAGTTTTTAAATTGAATTCAAACGAAACGTCTCGTGTGTTTATAATTATTAATTTTATTTATTTAAATTACAAAATAACGACTATATTTGATTTGCTTTTTACAGCACTCGCGAATTTTTCAACAAGTTCGGAAAATATATTGCAATTTAACGCTCTTATCTCTCATACCTTTCTGAAGCAAGGTAATCATAGGTATTTATAAAGTATTCATTTTTGTTTCGTATAGGTAAATAATACTTAAAATTAAAACAAATTTACTCATAAGTTCGACTTAATTTCTGTTTAGTTTTTTCATATTTAAAGAGCACATGTTGGAGTTAACTATTTATTAAGATTTCTCTCTTCATAAAGCAGCTTTTTCTTATTTTCATTTTTATTTTTGTGTTTTTTTTTTCTTGCATCATAAGCTTTGCATTAAGCCACGTAATTGCAGCGCATTTTCAAAGGTTACAAAAAAATATCTAAAGTTGTGTGGACTGCGATTACAGCGATTCAATGCAAAGCTTTTGAATAACGCTTTCAATGAGTATTTTATAATTTTTCCTTGGGGCAGTGTTAGAACTTTGCCTCGTTGCAGTGCTGAACATTTATGACCACAATTTACATTAAAGCAGCTATTTTTATAAGATTATTCCTTTTATATATTATTTGTATGTTTCGTTGTTGGTTTACTGCACTTCGCTATCACTGTCACTCTTTTCTGCAAGTTGAGAAACAAGTTAGTTGCCTTGCTCTATGCTTAATAAATGCCATATTTGGACTCACCTTTCTTGCCCGTGTAAGCGTGACGTTTCAGTCGATCGTATAAGTCTTCTTTAGTTCCGTAGAGCGACGCATTGGATCGGGCCAATGTGCTCATTTTTCCACCATGTAGACCTACGAAGAGCAGAGACAGGAGTTAGAAAGAGCTCGACAGGAAGTTCATGTTGGCAAAGGATTTCCTGCCGTTAAATCGTTTATTCTAAGGCCACTGCTTACCGTCTTTCATGTAGGTTTCGTTGTAAAAGTTGGGCATCTCCCAGCCATCCTCTTCGTCGTCATAGTAATGCGCATATGTGCTGTGGTGCGAGGGCGCAATGGACTCCGCGTATGGCGTGTGGGCGCCATAGTAGAAGTTGACTTGCGAGCCAGTCTGATCGATCGCTGGCGTTAGCATCTTCTTTGGATCTCTGCGCTTCGTGGAGCGCACACAAATCATCCAAATGAGCAGCACAATGATAATGATGAAGATAACGGCGCCTGCAATGCCGCCTGCTATGTAAGCGAACTCAGAGCGCTCGGCGCAATGGGGTCCGGTGAAGGAGCCGACACAGCGGCAGGAGGGCGTGCCCTTCAGATCCTTGACGCATGCGCCAGAGTTTTCGCAATAGCCGTCACACACATCTGTGCAGGCCATGCCAGTGCCGTTGAAGCCAGGCTTGCATTCGCACTTGAAGTCCGAAGTCTCCGGTTCCATAATGCAATAGGCATTGACGTCGCAATGTGGCTTGCCCTCGGCAATATGCTCGCAGGGATTGGTGCATTCGCTCTTGGAGGTGGCGCCCGTGATTTTGGTGCTGTGATTGGGCGGGCATTGAATGCAGGTGGTTTGCTGCGATTCGGATTGATAGAAGCCCTTGCGGCACTCGATGCACATGTTGAGCGTTGCATTGAGATAGGTGCCAGGCGAACAGACGGGCAGTGTACATTCCTCCACTGAGCTGGCGCCCACCTTGGGCGTGGTGCGACCCAGTGGACAGGCAGCGCATGAGGGCTGCACGCCCTGCAGACGATAGGTACCACGTGGACAAGGTTCACAGCGGCCGTCGGCGCCCAGCTGCTGGCCAGAGCTGCACTCATCACGGCACTCCTTGCGGGAGGTCGCCTCAGTGGAGCGCGTGGTCTGACCCAGACCGCACAGCTCGCAGCTGAATGCACCTTCATTCGGCTGATAGAAGCCATGGCCGCAAGAGCGGCACAGACCCGTTTCCGCATCGAAGTATTTGCCAGCCGGGCAACGCTCTTTGCAGTCAGCGGCAGAGCGCGCTCCAGGCCCAGCCGTGACACCAGGACGTCCGGCTATGGTCGGACACTTGCTGCACTGCTGTTGTCCTGCCTCGGACTGATAGCTGCCACGGGCACATGGAATGCACGTCTTGTTAGCGTTGTCGTAGAACGTGCCAATGGCACATGGAACACAGTCGGGTATCATGACCACCTGGCCGGCGGGGCAGGCATATTCAGAGCCCAGCTCCAACGAAGCTGGATCTGGCACGGTATTGGGCAGAATGTCTTGAACGGCAAACTGATCATCCTCCAATATTAACTTCTCCAGCAATTGCTTCACATTGGAGCGCTCGCCCGTCGAGGTGTGCACCACAGGATCGCTAGAGTTGGCAAAGGACAAAATGAGATTCAGTTTTTGTTTATCATCAGAATAAGCATTAGAAATTATCAGTTGGGTTAGCACGCAAAACTCATGTGACATGTGGAGGTTAGCATTAGAAGCATTAGACAGAGTTGCATTGTGATTGAGTTGGTTGATTGGTTGATTGGTTGATTGGTTGGTTGATTGGATGTTTGGATTAGTCTGATTGACAGTTGCTAGTACTGAGTGCAGAATGCTGGAGAGCGGGTGCAAATTTTGATCGTTATATTGAACGAATGTGGATGCTTGACATACTTAACAGCCGGGAAGGCTATTTCCAGCGTGTATGTGTCGCCGCCGGTTTGTTGGCGTCCCTGGCGACCTGTCAGTGCCAACTCGTCATCCTCGCTAGAAATTGGGGTTAACGAACACATATTCATATACATATAACACAGCGTACACATATATACAGCATAACAGACACATGCTAGACAGTTTGGACAGTAATACCCCAAGACACTCACTTGACAACTGGCAGCTCTGCCTCCATCACGTAGACACCACCATCCTTCACCTGACGACGCACACGATTGTTCTGGGCAGCTCGATAATGATCGCACTTGACATCGATCTGAATATCCTTGCACTCTCTACAAAAAATAAAAACCATTAGAGAATGCTGGTCTTCAGTCCAGCTAGTCCACTCTTACCTGGTGCCCTCAATGGAGTATGAGCAGAAGTTCCAGTCTCTGTTCAAAGCGTTCACGGAGTTGGTCACCTTCTGGCGCAGCACAGCCTGGCCGGCCTTGTTGCAGAGCACATCCGAAGGGAAGAGCATTTTGATGCGGAACACGCGCTGGGCAGGCTTAGCCGGCGAGCAGGAGGGGTAGACCAGTGGCATGGATGCTTCGCGAGTCGGACGCCAGAAGCCCTCGGCACCGCAAGTATAAAACTCCGGCACTTGCTCCGAGAAACGCAAGCCCGTATTGCAAGCGATCTCACAGACCTTGAACTGGCCGCCTGCTCCCCAGTCTTTGCAGACCTGAGAGCCGCCCACGGGATCGGCCAAAAGCGGACAGAATTCAGCTAGTACGAGTAAACGATAGACAAGGTTAGACAAGGTTCTAAATAAATTACATTGTAGACTTACTCAATAGCGAAACCTTGAAGCTGCATGAAGCCGTATTTCCAGCTGCATCAGATGCAATATATGTAATATCGTAGGTACCCCAGAGCAGCGTGGTTCCCGAGCGATGTCCGTTGCGTTCATAGATCTTGGTAACACCAATATTATCGCTAAAGTGTGGCTCGTCCCAGGTAACCACGGCTGAGCCATTCTTGGCAATGACCCACAGATCTCCTGGACAATGCTCCACAACTGGCGGCTCCTTGTCCATAACAAGCTGTTGGCAATTGGCGCCCGTGTAGCCCACTTGGCATTTGCGTTGGCCACACATGGAAGGCACATTCCGCTCCACGCCGCCCGTGGTCATCTCATAGCCGCCCCAGTTCAGTATGAGACCTGAGTAGAGCACCGGCTCGGAGCGACAGTCGCGCACTTGCTTCTGAATTTCAGAGGTAATGTCTAGAGCACGCGCCCAGACCTGCGCCTTGGTTACTGTGCCTTGGAAGCCAGCTTCGGTATAGCCCAGCTCATGCTTGATGCTATCCGGTTGCGGGCGGCCCAGCACGGACCACAGATAGGCAGGCAAGACACCTCCGTTGCCATATTCCAACTTGCTAGCAATCAAACCCTCTGTGATCAGCTGCAGCTGACCGCTGACTCCGTCCCAGACGACGGCTACATGATGCCACTGGCCATCGTTGACGGAAGTGTATTCGCCGAAGCTCAGGAACACATCTGGCAGATCCTCAAAGAGGGAGACCTGCACGCCGCTCGAGTGAGCTTGCAGCAGCAGACGTCGGCGCTGTGTCATGCGAGCGGAGTCTACACCGTACAGGGTAAAGAAGATGCCTGTATCGTCCTTCTGGGCGAACTGAACCCACATGGCCACAGTCAAGCTGCTTGCCTCGCCCGTGGGGAAGGGCACCACCTGGGCGGCTGTGGAACGCGATGCATCGCTAAAGTACAGATCGTAGTCCACTTGAATGGCTTTGCGGCAGTCATCGCCGGTCATGTTGAAGGGGCACTGGCAGTAGAAGCCATTGGTCAGATCAACGCAGCTGGCACCAGGTGGGCAAGAGTTATCCTTGCAATCCACAATATCTTGTTCGCAGTTCTTGCCCGTGAAGCCGGGGGGACACTGGCAACTGTAGCCAGCGCCATTGTCCAAGCAAACAGCGCCGTTCTGACACACGTGTTCCTCACAAGCATCGTACTCATACTGGCAACCGATGCCGGCATAATCAGCCGGACAACTGCAGTTGAGGCCAGAGCCAAAGTCCTGGCACTTGCCGCCATGCATGCAGGGATTGCCGATGCAGCGCTCGGGCGCTGTTTCGCAGTTCTTGCCATCAGTGCCGCTGGGGCAGACGCAGAAATAGTCTTGGAAGAGATCAATGCACTTGGCATCGTTCTGGCAGGGGGCTTGCACATTGCACGTGGTCACCTGCTGCTCGCAGCGCATGCCGCTCCAGCCAGGCGCACAGCCACACTCGAAGCCTCCGACGCGATCGCGGCAAATGCCATTGTTGAGGCAGGGTT